ACACCATACACCGTAGTCACCAGGGCTTCAGCCAAATTAGGCGAACAGTTGAAGGTGATGGACTCTCGCATACTGGTCTTGAAGACCAGGGTAAATATTCCCTGCGCGGACAGATTGCCCATGTCGCCACAGTCCCACAGTGAAACTGTGCAAAGTCAACCAAGCGGATGTGGCTCCATCCCTGTTAACACGACTATGTTAATAGAGCCGAGTGGTAAATCTGCACTAAATGAGAATTTTATAACACCCATCTCCATAGTGGGCCATGAAAAAACAGGAAGGCCAAAAAGAAACGTTCACGACGTCGCAAGATGACAACAGCGTTCCCCAAAAAGGCAGACGATTGCAAGGTCTGCGATTCTATTGTCGAACAAGTAGACCCCTCCTTCGAATGCAACTTTTGCAAGCAATGGGTACATTGTAGATTCGACACTGGGGTACCGAAAGTATATTGCGACTTTATGCGTAAGAACCCATGCCCATAGTTCTGGTAAATATGCCCAAGTTGACGTCCTGATGCAGCCTCTTGTAGTTCCTAGAAAGCTAAAGATGGCGTAGAAGTATCAGGGAAAAACGTGAAACGTTCTACTTCCACCAACTCAGAAAACAGCACAATTGCACGTAAATCGGGGATACCAAAATCCACACCGGGCTAAACTTGCAATTCTTGCCATAACCGCTCCAGACACAGAGGCTGAAGCACCAGGCGTATCTGTCGCTGGAAAAGACCCTTATCGCCCGCCACTAATAGTGGCCATGGCGCTGAGACACACAGTAATACCTATTCGCACCAGACGAAACAAAACGGTCTTAAAGGGGATGACAAATGTGCGAGGACCGAACCTAAGTCCACGGTTAGTAGATCAAACTGCGTAATCCTCTTTAATGTACCAGACTGTAGTAGTAGTCTGCTGAAAAACAGGGCCCTGTTTGATCAGGAACAGTGGTCCAACTTGTGTAGCACACTGGGTCTGGACATCAAACCAGTAAAATTATGCAGATGCACTGCTGCACCTCAAGGCAAACCATCCTCACTGAGGGTTACCCTGGGCTCTACCGAGGATGCCGAGAAAGTCCTTTCTATAGGGAGAGCCTGCAACATACGTATTAGGCCAGACAGGCCACGGAAGGAAAGACAGATGGCGAGAGAGCCGCCAGAGCTTATTCCTTCTGCCTCCATGGTTGTTCACGGCATTCCCGAACTGGTAACTGTGAACGCTTGCGAGAAGCACTGTCACGATGTACAGTAATGGAGATGGTTGGCATCCCAGGTAGCTCTGGGAAGTTCAGGGGCTGTCTCTGTTTATAGACTGCCTCGACCCATTCACCTTATATCAATTAACACGCCACGTCTGTTAGCTCTCAAGTTCAGTTCCCGAGACCAGTTGACTACTGCTCTCCAGATATGGTACGAGACCAAGGACAAGGTCAGCAGACACATTCGCTGCTGCGAGAGCCGGCCTCTTACCCAAAGGAGAGAACAAAGCGTTGTCAAAGGAAATCCTTAACTCTTTGTCACACTACAGCGGTGCAGCACGGACGATGATAGCCAGTGTCATCCAAGTGCCCCGATTGAACTAGAAGAAAAAACGACAACAGGCCGGTTCACGGGGAATCGGCCAACTACTTCGTAGGATAACTCCTCAACCGACAGCCCACATCAAGGCAACCACCCACAATACGGCGATGTGGTGAGACTGACTACCAGTTGCATGTACAGTAATTTGAGAGGGCTGAGAGGCGAAATAGCTGAACTTAGACACCTACAATCACAGCTGAACTCCACAATCATAATACTGACGGAAACCTGGCTAACCCCTACGGTGGCAGACAGCGAAGTCAGTATAAATGATATGGTCCTAGTCAGGCGAGATAGGGACCTGAAAGAAGGAGGTGGAGTCGCCATATACGTCGACAAACAGCTCAGATGTGTTCACGCAATGGACCCTCCCCTCATTGAGCTCCCTGACTCCATATGATGCCATTTCACCGTTGGGTACTGCAAATATCTAATGGGCAGCATTTATGGATCACATTCATGTGGAGCGGACCACAACCAGGTACTGCTGAATGCAATTTCAGCGACACAAGACATGGGTTATGATCAAATTGTCATAGCTGGAGACTTCAATGCCCCATCTCTTAACTTGATGACGGGATATGCCCAGGATAGATTTGATCGAAATCTGCTGCATACCATCTGGGAGGCCGGATTCACTGAAAATGTCGGAATGGATACTAGATTGGGCCCAGATGGGAAGTCTTCTAGACTGGATTATGTGCTCACTAGTGACCAGCTACTAGAGGAAAACGTTCAGATCACGACCCCATAGGTAGTAGTGACCACACGGTCGTAACATTCGACATAGTCCTCCGCGAGCGTTTACAGTGGGACAATACACAGCCATATCTGTGTTATAACAAAGCCAATTACACCGAAATGCGAAGACTTTTGTCTGAAGCAAATTGGCCAAAAAATTGGACAGAGCTTACAGTAGAAGAACACTGGGGAGTGGTAAAGGAGATCATTCACCAGGCGGTCTCAGACACTGTTCCTTTAGTCACACCAAAAGCTATGAAGCAACGTTCATGGCTAAAAAGGGGGACACAGCGCCTTCTACTGGCGAAGCGAAAAGCCTGGTTTGCGTGGCGAGTATCGAAGAGTCAACCCGAACATGAAGTGTACCTCGAAATCAGGAATCGATGTAACATACGAGTCCGGAGTGATAGAAGGACATTTCAGAGAAACCTCGCCAATAAGCTTCTCGTGAACCCCAAAAGCCTATACAGGTTTATGTCTGAAAGAAAACCGACCAACGAGGGAGCTAGCAATATAGTGGGTTCTGATGGGAAATCTCTTACTAGTCTTGAAATGGCAGAGACATTCAGTCTAGCCTTCCACAGGCAACTGAACAGTAATGAGGATTTTACTCCCACAAAACATCCAGATTACAATGCAAGACCAATGTGCGAAAACCTGCTGGGTACATTTCAAATTACCCCGGCTATGGTACTTGTAAAATTGGGAAAGTTGGCTTCGGGAAAGTCTGCAGGTTGCGATGACATAAGACCATCCGTCCTGAAGCAGTGTTCAGAAAGTCTCTGCCAACCCCTAAGCGATCTGTTTCAACACTCCTTCGATGTAGGGAAACTTCCATGTGAACGGAAACGAGACATCCTATCCCCTATCTTCAAGGGTGGTGACCGGCAGAACGCCACCAGTTACAGACCAGTTGCGCTACTCCCAGTGATATCGAAGATATTGGAAAGTCTCATTGACGACCACATGAGAAAATACTTCAACGGGACTAACCTACTCCATGAAGCACAGCACGATTTCAGGAGGGGAAGATCCTGTGTGACGAATCTTCTACTAGCTTGGAACGATTGGACACTATCCTGGGATGTAAAGGTACCAGTCCATGTGATCTCTCTGGACTTTGCAAAAGCATTCGACACAGTTCACCATGGTCTGCTCCTTCACAAAATAAGCAAAGCGGGTGTTTCTGGAGCACTTCTCGCATGGCTGGAAGATTATTTAGGCGAGAGAGAATTCTGCACCAAAGTCAACCGCATCCGATCATCCTGGCACACCTCGGCATCATAGGTTCCTCAGGGTTCTATCTTGGGACCGATGATGTTTTTGATTTTTATCAATGACCTGCCCTGTCGACTGAATTGCTCTGCGCTTCTTTACGCTGACGACGTAAAGATTTGGAGAGCAATAAACTCATCGGAAGACTCAGACAGATTGCAGGCTGACCTGCAAACTCTGGGAGACTGGGCTCTGGCTAACGGAATGCCTTTCAACCTAAAGAAGTGCAAAGTAGAGCAACTTTATTCTGGTAGGCCACAGAGTGTAAATTACACCCTTGGCGGCCAGAACCTGAGTTGTGTGCCATCAGAACGCGACCTAAGTCTTATTCTAACAGAGAAGCTAGACACCAGTGGAAATTACACGAGAGACTCCGCCAAAGCCTACGCAACTTTACACTTTATGCATATGCAGCTGGGAGCTCTTACTCCTGAACTATTCTTAACGTTGTATACGACATACGTGAGGCCACTCCTTGAGGTGCATAATATCATTGCTCCTCCGCTACTCAAAAGGGATGCTAACATGCTAGAAAGTGTCCAGAGACGAGCGATAAAATGGGTGATCGGCCTCCGCAACAAATCATATGAGGAAAGAGTGAAGAAATTAAGTCTTTTCACACTTAGTTACCGTAGTCACAGGGGAGACCTCACCACCGTCTATAAGATCTTAAATGACCAGGCCCACCCTAATAAGAGCATCCTGCCATTAAGTGATTATAGGCTTCCACGAGGTAACCCGCTAAGGATAGCACACCAGAGACCAAAGACTTTAGTGCGTTCACATTTCTTCTCGCTTCGAGTTTGCCGTCTCTGGAGCGCTTTATCGGCGGCCGTAACTACAGCTCCATCTGTGGAGACTTTTAAGCGGAAGCTGGACAATCATGCGGAAATGCATGGTTTGTGTCTCAATGGCTTACCCTCTTAAAATTCGAAACCGCATTGTCAATGGATAAGCATACAAGCTAAATCCCCACGACCCGTCCTGTCTTCTCCCACTGTACCGACCACTCTATCTTTTCTTTCTTTCTTTATTATTTCACCTTTATTATTTCACTTATCTCAACCTATATTATCTACACTACAACCTATTATTATTATTCTACTTTTATGACTATACCGAATGACCAACGGGTGTTAGGTCAAACTCCATTCACGGCAGCAGCTGAGTCCTAACATACTGCACACTACAAACCACAATCTTGACCAATCCTCGCACCACTCATCTTGGAGTTTACCAGAGCTAAAGCAGTCGAGTGGCGGGATTTACTACGCATAAGTTCACCGAAGATCTGGAACCTCTACCTTACAATCAAGAAGCGAGCTCAAAGAAATCACTGGTTTATACTAGCTCGTAATCAGGATATTGGATATTGGAAATCACTGGTTTATACTAGTCCGTGATGGTGGGCGTTGCAAATATAGCGTTACTAATATTTAGTGACCTAATTGAAGTGAGTATTTGAAGTAAAGCCGGTTATAGAATTTAATGCAGAGTTAACCACAACATGACCATCATAGTTGAGCTCTACTTTTAGGATAAACGGACAAGAATTAGTGTACAAATTAGTAACATCAGTCGTATATGTTATCACGACACGTGCTCCAGGGGTTTTGGGAACTTGTCCTTTTTACTACTGTTGATTAATTTATCTGGTAGAGCAAGTATATACGAAGAATGAATGTGTATAAGGATTACGAGTTTAAGCAACTCAGGACACAAATAAAACATTTTGGAGAATTCCCGGGCCTAATAATAAGCCTGAATTATTCGAGAGCGAAAATTGGGGATCTTAAGGAAAATCTGTTGCATTTTGAACAGAATTTCGCTTTGGTTCACCTCGGAGATTCCTCGAAATTACTCTTAGACTAATGCGTCGTAAGTAAATGTTCTTAAGGCCACCCGCAGAATCAGTGTTTAATGTGTGGTACAGACACATTTGAGAATGCTAGTAAAGTCTTACATCAAAGTTTGTTTAAGTAAGTGTTTTGGATTGTCCGTTTCCACCCAACATTTAAGATTATTGTTTTTCGTCGAGAGAAAGTGTAAATATATTGAGGAAATTTGGAGGAAGCTGCTAAATAAACATGATTTTCCTCAGAGTCATTTGTCTAAGTTATTGCATAGTTTTCATTTAGAGTTTGCCCTGGCCTTTGATAAATTTTCTCCGCAACCATTGACTTCGGGTCCACTGCAGAAAGTACTTCAAACTGTTCCACTCTTTGCAGTGGGCCTATTGAATTTGCTAGTCTGAGGTCAAATTTTGATCACAGTTCATATTAAAGATTTTGTTTTGTTTTGTTTACTATACCTATTGATAGCTGTTTATTGATTCACATGACTGGACAAACAATTTAAAAGAGATGTACTTTTATATATAAACATACTATTTTATTTATTTATTTATTTATTATACATGTTGATGACTGTTGCATGACTCATGATTGGACAAAATTTAAAAAACATGAGTTGTCCCTTTTATATATAAACCTGTTTATTTTAATTCGATTAATTTCCCTGAAGAAGTTCGGACCAGATTGCCGAACGAAACGTTGGAATTAATCATTTCAATTTCGCTGAGATTTTACAAATATAATTTTATAAACTGAAACATAGTTTCATCAGTCAGTGAAATCCAGAGCAGTTAGTTTAAGCCACGTAAGGAGGTGTAGACTTCCTGGTTGGGGTGCTCGGGATGATGAAAAGCAGTGACTTGAGACAATCGGTGATATGGCTCAAAGTCGTTCTCAATGATAACATAGATGCATTCACTCTTTGTGATTTATAATATCTAGTAAAACTATTACATTTATTCCCCTTAATGAATTTGAACAAAGCAAGAACTACAGTTTTAGCAGAATAAATTGGTACCATCTTTTATTTCGTTGCTTTCTCGTCAGCTGCTTACAGGCCAAAGACATTATTAAATATATCTAGAAAAACAATTTTGACATACTTGCACAGAGTTCATTTTAAACAGAAATCAATCGATCAATATATGCATACAGTAATAATATATATATATATCATACTGAACACTATTCCGAACCATAATAATCATACACAATGGAAACTTTTCAGCATTTCGCATTCAGATGAAAGCGTTTATCAGTCTTTCTTTGCCCTGGTAACTGGATATTTTCATCTCTCTTTCATCTGAATGCGAAATGCTGAAAAGTTTCCATTGTGTATGATTATTATGGTTCGGAATAGTGTTCAGTATGATATATATATATATTATTACTGTATGCATATATTGATCGATTGATTTCTGTTTAAAATGAACTCTGTGCAAGTATGTCAAAATTGTTTTTCTAGATATATTTAATAATGTCTTTGGCCTGTAAGCAGCTGACGAGAAAGCAACAAAATAAAAGATGGTACCAATTTATTCTGCTAAAACTGTAGTTCTTGCTTTGTTCAAAACTCTATTAATCTTCCATATTATTATTCTTTTTCCCTGACACAGCTGTTTGTTATTTCTATTTTGAACCCCCTCTTCACTCTCTTCTCTTATTCTGTGTGCTACACTATTGGAGTTTAACAGCTCGAACTGCTGCACATCAGTCAGTCACAGCCTGATCAATTGACTTACACTTCTGACCTAATGCTATACATTTAGCCTCAGTATTGATCTCCATATCACACTACTCAACCCGGAAAAAATCTTAAACATATGTGATCAAATACAGCTAGTCTTTTCATAATGTAATTGTACTCTACTACAGTATCCTAGTTTATTATGTAATTTCCCTCAGCAATTCTAATGCATCTTTACAAAATTACAACAGGCTTAAATTTTCCAGCTCGTGGTACCGTAAATTCACTCCAAAATTTATGATTAGTAATATGTGAATTTTTATGTTGATATCGTACCAAGCAGTAAAGTTTGTGTACTAAATGTACAGCTCAATCTCACTAACATGTTTTCATGAGACGATATACCATTGATTGTTTTTGATTGAACACTAGTCAGTGTAATGTGTGTAGTCCTTGGCGTTGGTGCACACTGTTGAATTCTATCAGTCAAGTTTGCAACGTAGCCACCATGCCACTAGGTGGCTTGTCATCACTGTCCACTGTGAATTTTTGATATTAGATGGTTGCAGGCAATCGGCAGGAAACCTTGCCTGACCTAGGTTTCGTGCTAGTTGGCACTCACCAGTCAGCAAGGCGTATCAGCAGCCTCCTTGAATGAACCCATGTTCCTTCTGAGATTCGACTAAACACATTACACTAGTTACTGACTAGTGTTCAATCAAAAATATCCAATACAGTTAGTCCTACAGGAGGTCAATCGCTAGCCTGAATAGCTCAAAAGTGGTCACGTTTTTGACTGCAGGTAGCACTGGGTGACGCGGGTTCGAATCTCAAAAGGGGCATGCATTCCTACGAGGTTGCAGATACGCCTTGCTGATGAGTGCCAGCTAGCACGAAACCTAGGTGGAAGGCTTCCTGCCGATTGCCTCCAACCATCTAATATCAACAATACTACTGATTGATTTACATGAGTAGTTATGTACCATTTATATCAACGAGTAGTGTTAACTAACATATTCCTTAAAGATGAATAAGTATAACCGGCTGTTCAAAATCAATCGTATCGATTAGAACTCTTCAATGTTAAAATAAATACTGTAGACTTTTAAGTCATCGTATTAAGCTGTGGTGTGTGCTGCTCTATTATGTAGAGATGCCGATTGATAGGAATGGAGCATAAAATAATTGAAGTCAACACATTTTAGGTCAATGGAGACTAAAGAGGCACACAGAAGTATTTATTCCTCAAATCTGAATTTAGTTTACGTTATGATCATGAAATAATCTCAACTTGTGGAAAATACCCATCTGGGCATTAGAGGGGAAAGAACAAGAAGTTCAGCAAAGATGGTGATCTTTATTGCGATTTCATTCTCAAAAGCAGCTGTACAATCGAATTTATATGCACTAGTTTACATGGATACAATTATTATTTATTTAATTCCGCATAGTAACGAAGAAGTTAATAACTTTCAACTTGGTATGAAAGTTTGGAGGTACGAATATAGATTACAAGGGGCTAAGAGACAAGATTGCATAGGGTTAGAAAACAGTTACAACGTATACAAAACTAAAATACTTGATAACTGGAAGAATAATTTTAAGGGCGAATAAAAGGTGATAATTATTTTCAACTTGATATGAATTACAAGAGGCTTAGAAACGATAGAACGAATTACAGGTGTGAACAAAATGAGCATGGAAACAAATTGAAATCAAAATTTTCAACTTGAAATGTAAGTTAGGAGAAGGTGTGAATATAGATTACAAGAGGCATAGAAACAAAAGTTACACAGGATTGGAATATAATTGTAAAATGGTTATTCTAAACAGACTACAAGTGTGAGCAGCAGGAGGAGCATGGAAACAAACTTAAAATAACTGACTTTTATAACTGAAGAAAAGTGGGATGAATTGAATGAGGATAAAGAGAGAAAAATATACACACAGAGAACAGAACAAAAGAAACTGAAGGATAAGGGAACACACCAAGGTTGTAAATACTGGACTAGTTTCTTTTGAACACAGCTCCGGCTTTTTGATGCATATGGCGAGAGCTTCCGTAGTACAAAGAAGTTGAAAACACACTGCCTTTGGTAGATTTTTGTTTACTTTGTAATTAAATGATTCTGAATGATGAGTCAGTTGAGATGCTGTGACAGGTATTGACGTGGTTTTCAGTTATTGCGCTCAACTTGAACAACTTTTCAGCCCATTGGATGGATCACCAACCAATCAGAATAGTTTATTGTCCTCTGACCTAGACGACTTTTAATGTGGTTAAAAATGTATAAACATGACTGACGCGTTTTTCCTCAATTGATATAGTTCATTTCCGAGTCTCTTATCCTTCTGTCATATTTTTTATAGGTCTTGAATAATGGATGAAGAACAGTTCAAATTTAACTTCCAATTAGAACAAATTGTAGAAGAATGGAAGACATTGGACGATGGGGAAGAAAACTTGTCCCACAATGATGGTGATGATGATGATAATGCGGATCAAGGAGATGAATTGAATGCTGTTAGTCAAGAATCATTTTTCGCCCCTCATTATAAAGATGGAATTGATTATTTTACAATAACTAATCCGGAGAAAGTGAAACAAGAATGGCTTGAAGCTAGAAAGTTGATTATACCACACATTCAAAATGTTGTCAAACATTTAGTTCGAGAGAAATTTCAGAAATAAATTTTCATGTACAGAAAAAGTGTGTTTTAATTTTTCGTCTTATCACTCACTGTTAGATAGTTGTCAGTGTGTGACGAGGGGACCTATGATTCTGCCTATCTCGCTATACAAAACACCCTGTAGACAATTCCATATTAATTTGTTTATGAGATGTATCACACATTGAAACAATATTATATACTGGATGACGTTTCGAACAAAATTTATTGTTCATAATCATATCAATTATAGTCACACGACTTCGAAACTTTAGTTTTATGGTTTTCTTTGTCCTCTCCTATTTGTCGTCTTTGGGGTAGTAGAATTTTCCAGGTATCTGGGACAGGTGTTGAATCATTCCTATTACATGTATTTGCAGTTGATTCGATAAACAAAGCTTCCGTTATCAATATCTCCCTCCACCCTGTGACATTCGATTTTAAAACTGTCATTTTATCCCATCCTATCCTATTTTATGGTTGTGTGTGATTGCATGTAGTGCTATAGCTGAACTATTCTCTAGATTTCTTATCTTATTCGGGTCAACCAATCTAGATTTTGATAGGTTTTTATGTTCAGCTAGTCTGACTGCCCCTGTTCTACTAGTTTGACCTATGTATTTGACCTGACAATCATTGCAGCAGGGTATTAGATAAACTTAATTGTTTTGTTTCAAAGGCTCCACAGGATTCTACAACCGACAAGGCTTGATGCTAATTGAGTTTGTGGGTTTGAATGCCAGCCACTTTTATTCCTGCCTTGTTAAGAATTCTGCGTAAGGTTTCCGAGGTTCCTTCCTTGTATGGAGTTACTACTGATGATTTAGATTCCCCGCTGTTGGTGTTGTCTTGCGTATGTTTGACATGCATGTCGTCACTAATATTATTATTATTATCACTATCACTACTATTATTATTTATTTTATTTTTACATTTCCCTACATACTTTCTGACTAATTTATCAGGGTAATTATTAAGTTTCAAAGCTTCTCTTATATGCCTCACTTACTGTCTTAGATTTTCCTTGGTACTACTTAGTTTTTGTGCTCTGTGATTTAAACATTTCACTAATCCTATTTTTTTACCGACATAGGATGGGATGATCGGAAGTCCAAATATCTGTTTGAATGTGTGGGTTTCCTGTAAACACTAGTGTTTAACTTCCCATCTTCTTTCCTTTATACGCTACAATCTAACATTGGAAGTTCCCCTCCCTAACTTTCCAATTCATAAGTGATTTGAATTGCCTCCACCTTTGGGTTAATGCGTTCGAAAAACCTATCTATATCTTGTGTTCTAAGTACAGTGAATGTGTCATCTACGTATCTCCACCATACTTTTGGCGTGGGGTTGGACGTTTCAATCGCTATGTTTTCCCACCTATCCATGAATATATCTGCCACAACCTGAGATATTGGTGATCGCATGACAACTCCCTCAGTTTGTTTGTATATTTTCCCCTAGAATTACTTACTACCACAGTGCCCAAGTTTTACACATACACCCTGTAGACAAATTTTTAATCTTGTAATAAGGCAATCCAAGTTTGTCTAAAGTTGTTACCTTTGACTGTTATTATCAGTGTTAGACACAGTTGATAGATTTTGGCTTTTTGCGCGTAATTACTGGGAAGAAGACCGCGAAGAAAAGTTCCCGTTACATTATTGAGTTGCAGAAATATATATATATATATATCTATATATTTTACTGCATAACTGATTCAATGTAAAAGTTGCACCAATAAGTATCTTGAATTATAATTTCCACGCTTATAGTGTGTGTGTGTATATATATTAGCCAATGCATATAAAGAATATATTCTCTACATGAAAATGAAAGATCTGGAGAGATTGCTAACTAAGGATTATCTAAGCCTTCAAAAGTTCCATTACCAGGCATCTCCTTGATACGGGTCATGAGATGGATATCATGAAGTCCTTTGAAATTATCAATGGATAGAATAGTTCAATTCTCCTCAAGTTTGCCGAAGCAGTTGCTATTAAACGCCTGAAACCTGATTGTTCTTCCATATTACTAATCTCTTTGCCTCATATTTCTGTTTATTATCTCTCTTTTGCTTTGTGGGCTATATGGAGGGAGTGTGGCGACTCGACTGCTGCACATCGGTGCAAAGTTCTACTTTGAAACCAGTCAGTCATTGAAACCCAATTTATGTGTCTTTATTCTCTCTCCGTCATTTGATTACGCAACCTTTGTCTTTAACCTCTGTCCCCTTCGCTATAATACACCTTTGCTTGTCTCTTATTTCTATGATTTGACTTGAACTTATCAGATTGTTACCCAATTTTATTAGTTACTCATCATCTTATTCCCCTTTTGGCTTTATTGCGTAACTCCTTTACCATTGTATGTCAGCATTTATTTTTGTTTAAACTTGGACTTTCTGAGTGTAAGCCGTGTAATTGTAATTTTCTGAACAGTGTTCATTAATTTTGAAATCTCCTGTCATTGACTATCATTCTTGTAACATTTGCAAGTATGTGCTAAAATTGTTCTCTACATAAACTTAATTCATTCCTTTAGGCTCTACGTGGTTTGTGAGAAGCTAACGAAATAAACAAGGATGATGCCATTTTATTCCGCACAAACTGTTGTTCTTGCACTATTTAAATTCGTAAATGGGAATAGGGAATACTGTACCTGTCCTGTCCGCTGTATCAATAACCCCATACACTTATTCCCATTTATGAATTTAAATAGAGCAAGAACAACAGTTTGTGCGAAATAAAATGGTACCGTTATTGTTTATTTCGCTGAACAAGTAATAGTGTACTTGGAAAAGAGCCAGTGGTGGTCAAATCAAAACATGGCTTCATCAGTCAGTGAAATCCAGAGCAGTTAGTTTAAGCCAGTCACGTAGGAAGGTGTAGACTTCCTGACTGGTTGCGGTCCTCGGGACGGTAGAAACCAATGAAGGCTGAAGACAATCGGTGATATGGCTCAAAATCGTTCTCAATGACAGCGCAGATGTATTCACTCCTTGTGACTTATTATACCAAATAAAACTATATGGTTCTTTGATATTACTATTCCTTTTGTCTCATATCTCTGTTTACTGTGTATATTTTGCATTTCTTTTTACTTTCTTCTGCTTTGTGTGCTACATGGAGTGTGGCGACTCGGACTGCTGCTTATCGGTGCAAAGTTCTATGTTCAAACCAGTCACGTAATACTGTACTGTACTATTACATGAGATGCTATCCACTTCTAGTTGATTTTGGAAAATGAAGGTTCCTTAATTGAACCCGTACGTATTCTGTGACTCCCATTATCTATATACTAAGGCGAATTGATCGGTGTGTATCAACGTGCATACTCCTGGTACGGATGCCTTAGTGTTACCAATCGTTTTGTTCTTATGTTCTATTTGATAACTGGCAATGGAATGAAAGACTCATTTATGGCTCTATTTAGCGCCTGTTAATTCCATGCACTTGCATCCCAGCCAGTGAGCATATTTCCACGTAAACTGGCACTCATTATTTGACATTCTAAAGCGTTATCCTCACACGAGAGATAGAAACGCAGGCACCCAACCTCATCCTATGTCACCTAACATTGCTCTTGGAGGAATGAGATAGCTAGATATGTGTAATATATGTCCTAGGCCATTTCAATCGATCTAGTTTCACAACCTCTTATCAAGTAACTTTCCTTGCTTACCTGACCTCCTCAGGTACTACTCACCCTATTATACCACTTAACACGAGAGATGAAATGCAAACGCCTATACTCAAAGACAACAAAGAGCATTCTGTATGCATGTCAAATTGTCTGTTATACAATTAAGACACGGTAGTCAACTTTACTCATCACTGGTGATGATGCATAGTTATCTCCCAGCCACCCCCTTTTCTCACCAAAACAAATAAAATTGACTTTCAGTATATATATTGCAAAAGTATTGTATTTCTAAATCCATCGACTCTAAGAAAAAGAAAACAGACTATTACTCATAATAAACATGCGAGTAGAAAATACAGTTGACTAAGACGGAGGGGATGCAAAGGTGGTGGGAGGGGGTGTGTGGATATTATCCTACGGACTGAACTACACATACATACATACATGGGAGTTATAATGTGCTATCATCATCTCACACACAAAAAAGTATCTTCTAATTACACTGACATTACAAATGTCCAGAATTAATAGAACAATACGCTCCAACCAACACGGTGAGCATAACTACAGGTAAGTGGAACAGTGTAGCTCGAAATAGACGTCTTGCTGCAGCCGATGATGCAGAACACTTTGCATCACTGGATGAATCTGTATAGGCGAATTTCCAGGCATAATAAATTAAGCCAATATTGGCTGGTAATGAGCCTATACCCAGAGCACAACCAGCCCATGGGCCTAAACTGATAGCACTACATCCAGCACCGGCTAGACAGACTAAACTTGAAGCGATGGCATGTCGCAATGCGACACGTTTACACATTTCCGGATCAACTATTGATGTCATTGTATAACCAGCTTTTGAGTATTCCCCACGCATATTCCAACTGAGTGCCATGAAATGTGGGAATTGCCATACATAGAGTAAACTGGCTAGCATTATAGAACCTAAAAATAAGCAAAAAAACACAAATAAAAGGACCGATATATTCAACAGGAAGATAAGCGTTAGTTACTTTGTTATGAAACATGACACAAACTTTTCTCTCTAAACAACATTGCAGATTGACTTTCGGTAACTGAGACAAAAAGAGCATTAATGCTGCGTGGCCGTAGAGTCCAAGGGACGACTGTTCGATGCCGCATTTGGAGTCGTGTCCGTATTAATATCTTACCATTGGCTAAGAACCGCCACTTCAAGGTGAGTCGGGGTGTAAAAATTTCGCGGTCAACTTTTTCTGAACCCTACCACCCGTCATCAGAGAGGAGAGGCAGTATTGCAGACATACTGGTCATTATCTGAGGGAGACACCTTACTTCTGATAAATCCTTATTCCCTACCCCCGTAGAAGGTATGACTTCGCCTACAGGTTACTTACACTATGACAGTGCCTGCTTTTAGTCTAATAGCTATCCAAACAACCTTTCTCTCATGGTAGTACTTACCAAGAAAATTCGTTCCGACCAGTGTAAAGTCGTCTGTTCATTGAGATATACAAGGTAGCGTCTATTGGTTAAGATTCACACAGTGATACACCCACTGACTGGGAAATTACACATCGGTTTTCAGGAGGATCGAAAGGTATCCTCATGAACCTGTAAGAGATCGAATATTCCTCAGTTTCATCAAAACATTCACACAAATCTAATCATATACAGCAGTTCAGTGTGCTCCTATTGTTATTACTATTATTCCCATGGGTTCCTAATGAGAAATTCCGTTTCGACAGCACGCGTCTACATTTTAGTCTATTCTCTACAATCCTCTTCAGCTGGCTCCACGATTCTCTATAAGCTTTTGTTTCCTCCCTTCATGTCATTCTCTTACTCAGACACAACTCGTTATTTCACACTCGGGTTCCACTTGAGCGCCAGCCAGCTTGGTACGCTATGTTATTCAACGGTCTCCTCGGCGTATGTCCAATCCATCTCCAGTTTCTTCGGGATATCTGTTGGTTAGTTTGTTGCGCGCCAGAATTCCTTGTGGTTAATCCTTTCTGGTCCACCGACCATCTGATCTTTAATATGGAGTCAGAGAAGGCGGCTGTTAGCGAAAGTCTCCAATGACCTTTTAGAAGTGCTTTGCGCGACGCGCCAAGGTCTTTGAACTATACAGAAGCACGATGTTATTTGACATTAGTGTTAAAACACCGAAATCTTTTTATTTTTGCTGAGACTGCAGCAGATTTCCACACTGATACACATGCAATGAACTACTGTTTTGCCTTTTCTATCCTGACTCCACATGTATTTGAACCAGTGGTGCCTAGGTAGACGGAATAAGTGTCTTCCTTTAGATTTCTTCTATTGGTGGTACTAAATTTCTGCAAATTACATTCTGATTATTGATTTTCAGACTCACCATGTGGAAAATATGATTAACAAGATTTCATTTCTCCTTTCTAGACAGCATTTTCAGTGTTAAATTCAATATAAAGTTATCGTTTAATGTAGAAAGCTTTAATGTGAGTATATGCTATATACAGAGCTATAAATCAACTAAAGCTCTAAAATAATCATAAATATGCGTTCATGGTTGTTGATTGGTAAGATGCTCGCCAACCATAAATATGTTCTGGGGTTCGATTGCCGGTCGACCCTATCTCACACTTGACTAGATCGGTAGTAAGCCCAGGGTGATGAGGACAATTTCGGCGTGAGGCTATCTACGTAATTAGGTTGATATCAGAGTGCTGAACATCTGTTTCGTCCTAGTTTGGAGTTCATTGGCAGTACGCGCCCACCTGGTTTCGAACTCAGGACCTTCCAGTTACATAGCAATCCCGTAGACCATTCAACGAATGCGAACCGACTCAAAGGCCAGCCCATGAATTCTAACCTCTAACCTATTCGTGATTTTATGGCGACAACCAGCCAATGTCATCGGCGAGTATTTGTCTTGACTCTCGACAGGGTGGAACTTACTGGTCACGACTTCTCACACTAGAACTCCAGGCAACGTCTTCCTGCAGACAGTCACCAAAGAGCATCAGATTAGTTTTCAAGAGTGGTGATTGCGCTTAAATCACGAATTGGCAGAAGTTAGAATTTATAAGCCATTGAGTCGGGTCCCAGTGGCTGAATGGCCTACGGGATTGCCGTGTAACTGGAAAATTCTGGGTTCCAACACTGGCGGTGGGTGCGTACTGCTGATGAGTTCCAAACTAGGCTGGCAAGACAACTGTCCAGCACTCTATGCTGGTTTCCCAATGGTTCTCTATCTGACATCAAACAAACTCTTGAACACTGCTGATTGATTCAGATGAGTAGTCGTATACTCACTCATATCAATCAATAGTGGTGGCTAGCTAGCCATATAGAAGTGATCTAGACACTGAACGATCGTTCCGTTCTTTCGGGACGTAGCTCATCTACAGTGTATCCTGTTGGACTCAGCTCTTTGAGCCGAATTCAGTATTGGAACCAACAGATTTCTGACTAGCTACTTAGGTGAAATACACAGACCAATCCGTGTTATAAAGAAGAAGAACAACAACAAAGAAGCCTTACCGCATTGTAATTGTCCAGTGGCAGCAGCCCAACCCATCAACGGGGGAATAGCACCAACCCAAGCTCCAATCCATGTATTCAGATGACTCACTTGTTTCATTGGTGTATATATACACGTGTACAAGAGCATATTGATAGCAGCTAATTCAGCCACCAGGGGGTTAACACCGAAATATAGTAAACCTAATCCAGAACTGGAACAGGCTAAAGCGAAAAGGGCTGCTCTACCAGGTCTAAAACAAAACAAAACAACAAGAACAAAAAATGAAAAATTTGAAATTCGATGAATTGTTCAATTAATTTATTTACTATTTATCTGAAACAATTTTCAATATCAGCAATTAGCACTAATCACCACCAACGGAAGTAATCTACAGGAAGTCACTCCCTTCAATTACCTGACCAGATACCATCGTTTTAACGACAGGATGTCCACGCGACGATCAGAAAGGTAAGACAAACCTTTACTATTCTGAAATCAGTGTGGGAATCTCCTACACACTCAGGATAACGAAGGAAATTCAAATCTCCAACACACACATACACTAGCGTCATGTGAGTGCATCTGTATGATTCAGAGAATTGGCGGATATGCGTCATGAAAAGCGTTTACAACAGGCTGCAGTGTAGTTTTCTTCTACACCTACCTTGGCTTGATACTGAAGACCACATGGTCGGCAAGAAATGAGAATTAACCAATCGAAGTAGATGGATCGGACGTACATTGATGAGGCCGTTAAGCGACATCACGCACCAGCCAGATTCTTAAGAGTAACCCAAATGCTAAACGACGAGTTGGGTGTCCAATGGTTACATAGAGGAGATCAAGTAAGGTGGAAACAAAAGCGCATATGCGTAATCGTCGTGGCGACTACACAAAACTTCAGCCAGCAGTTTAAAATAACGATGTGCTAATGGAGAAGACTTGTAGCTTTAGATGGATGATTTCAATTTAGTTATGTTCTATGAGCTTGTCGATTTAATTTCATGGCTTTCTTTGTCTTTCTCTGAGCTGAAAATGTTGTCTAGAAGGACAAGGAAAGCTTCGCAATTGAATCAACCAGCTCAAAGAACACAACTAAATCTAAACGGTCATGTGTGGGAGACATGAAAAGGCTAGCTCTAGCTGTCTTTGATCATAGGTGCCTGCGTTCTATCTCCCGTGTTAACTGGTATAATAAGGTGATCAATATTGAGGTTAGGCATCGGTTGATTGCTAGGTTAGGAGGGGAAATCAATAGACGAGGCTGTGAAACTACACCGATTGAGATGGTTAGGATATGTGATATGTATGCACGTCTAGCCATCGCCTTCCTTGACGGGCCATGTCAACTGACATACGGTCAGGTTGGAAGAGAGCCAGTGGTGGTCAAACCAAAACATGGCTTCATCAGTCAATGAAATCCACAACAATTAGTTTCAGCCAGCCACATGGGAAGGTGTTAACTTCCTGGTTGGTGTCTTTGGGACGGTAAAAACCAATGAAGGCTGGAGACAAATGGTGATATGGCTCGAAATTGCTCTCAATGATAGCGCATCTGCATCTACTCCTTGTGACTTATAATTTCCAATAAAACTATATTGTTCTTCGATATTAATATTTTTTGCCTCATATCTCTCTTTAATGTCACTTTTTACTTTCTTCTCTTGTTTTGTGTGCTACATAGAGGGAGTGTGGCGACTCGAACTGCTGCCTATCGGTGCAAAGTTCTATGTTCAAACCTGTCAGTCAGTCAGTGTCTTAAAACTTACAATATAAAATACGTTTGAGATATACACTTAAATCTGTTGAAACTACAGCTATTCAATGGTCTAGACCTCACACTTATGCGTTCAAAAATTATTTATTACAACACTGAACTTGCCTTAGTAATCTACTTTTAAAACCGAAAAAATACCTTACATAGCGATATCTCACCGCCCCTCCTATCCTTTTCGCCTACCACTTCACTGTGATTCTGATATCAAAATTAACATTTACACCAACTCAAGTGCTAGTTTGCACAGATTCAATCAGTTACAGGATTTCATCATGAACTGATATCGGTTAGAGAAGCATGGGAAAATCAGCAGGGAGTAACTGGACATCTGTTTTGTCAGACTAGTTTGGGACTCTTCAGCAGTACCCACCCACCGCCAGTTACAAAGTGAACTCGTAGACCATTAAGCCACTGGGATTCGATCCAATGACCAGGCGATGAATTCCAACTTATGCCATTTCACGATATAGCTCGACCACTGGCCAATGTCATCGGTAGGGTACCTACTGGTCACGACTTCTCAGTCGAACCTAGACAACTACCTAACTGAATAGGTCATACTACTGAAGCAGAGTCCCAAACTAGGACGAAACTGTTGTCCAGTACTCTTCCTGATGAATTCCTGTAACCAATCAAATCCTTGGAAACTAACACTTGAATATACTTATAATTGTTCTTAATTCAGACTTGAATATTTATATATATAACAAATATTACAAAAGTAAATAACTCACGTTGTCAAGCCACGAACGAGCACACGATTCTTTGTGCGCGTCATTTGACTATCATAGGGGATTTCAATAATCTAAAAGTAACACATAAGTTGACGAATCTGTAAGCTATGTCCTTTGTAAAAATAGTGAACATCAAGAGATGCGCTACACAACTATGATAAAACAAGTGACACATAAAGAAAGGAAGGCGAGAAAAAATGAAGGACATCACCCAGAAGGCATATTTTTTATCAAAACAATTTAACATTCACCACTTCATGGTACTTTCACAAAAAGGAGAAAAAAGAAGGAAATAAATTGTAGCATGATTCGCCATTGATGATTGCAATTCTTGGCCATTATCCGATAATGCTTCGAGACTCCGATATGAATTATCTTTCCAGCCCTAACCAGGAAGTCATGTTGCACTAATTGATGCTAACCTAACATAAATATCTTTCATCCTATGACTCCAGGAAGTACTACAAAGCTATTATGTCCTATTTTGAGAGAGTCATTTGCAGTACGCAGCCATGACGCCAATGGGGATCGAAACTAGGATCTTCAGGTTAAGAAGCTAGTTCGTCCACCATTCAACCACTGAGACGGAATGCTAATGGCCAGGCATGAATTTCAACTCCTGCAGATCCGGGATTTATATCACCACCAGTCGTTGATATCTTCGACGAGTATTTGTCTTGCTTTGTAACAGGAAGGCCGTAGGTTTAAGACTCCGTGGGTACATACTGCTGCACAGTCCCAAACTAGAGGACGAAACAGTTGCTGTCCAGTAGTCTCTGCTGGATTTCCCATTGGTACTTCTAACTGATATCGGTGTAGTTATCAAAACTCATACCCGCATCAAATCCCTGCGAAGTAACACTTGATAACTGTATATGTCTGTCACGTCTTTATTTCTATTGTAGATATCTTACATCTGAGAGTCAATTTACTAACTAGTACTGATGAGTAATGCAACTTAGCTCCTTTGTACATTTCTCTGTCTCCAGTAGCTGTAAATATTTCTGAACCAAACGTGACTTAGTGGCTTAGGCCAATGAGTTGCACTAAAAGTCTCTCTCTTTTCCTCTCTCTCTCTTTCTCAGATACGATATTCTCGCGGATGCCCGGCGCTCTTCACCGGGTTGACTGTCCATTGGATGACAGTCTAGGGGAGATGGCTAAACCCTAATTCCAAACCTCCAACGACTGGCGTATGAAGCTCACTGGAGCCCACCGGCAAACGTATGGACAAAGGGCTTGTTGGATGTCCTGGATGTCTGGCCCCATTCAAAAAGGCGTATGAACCGAACTCCGGTCACCGGCTGCCAATGGATAGTGGACTCCCTACTCCACTCCTACTGCCTTGTAGGTCACACTTGGTTGTGTAAAGGCTAGAGCTGCACTCTCAAACAAAAGGCCGAGCGATTCTGGGGACATCACTCGTACCAAATTCCCATGAAACTTCATGAACTCTCTTCATCAGATCGCCGCGCCTGGGCAGCGATGATTCGAGATGTTCATGAAGCCGGCTCATCCTCCCGTAGGAGATAGCCGAAGTAAAGTAAGTAAAAGCAAGTATATTCTCGAAAGCACTCAACTGAAAAAAACACAGTTGAAGTGTTAATATATGTGTGAAACTTGGGCACTGTGGTAGTAAGTAATTCTATATTAGTTTATTTATGAGATGTATCATACGGTCAGTGAAACAGTATTATTTACTGGATGACACAGTTTCGAACAAAATTTATTGTTCATAATCATGCCATCAATTATTATCATACGACTTTGAAACTTGAGTTTTTATAGTTTTCTTTGTCCTCTCCTATTTGTCGTTGTTGAGGTAGTAGAATTTTCCAGATATCTGAGTGGACAGGTGTTGAATCATTCCTATTACACATGTTTGCAGTTGATTCGATAAACGAAGCTTCTGTTATCAATCTTTCCCTCCACCCTGTGACATCAGATTTTAAAACTGCCAGCTTATCCCATCCTACTGTGTTGTTGTAGTAATTCCATACAAGGTAGGAACCTCGAAAACCTTACGCAGAATTCTTAACAAGGCAGGAATAAAAGTGGTTGGCATTCAAACCCACAAACTCAATTACAAACAAGCTTTGTCGGTTAAAGGATCAATCATGTGGAGCTTTTAAAACAAAACAATTTAGTTTATGTAATACCCTGCTGGAATGATTGTCAGGTCAAATTAGTAGAACAGCTGCAGTCAGTCAGACTAGCCGAACATAAAAACCTAGCAAAATTTGGATTGGTTGACCCGAATAAGATAAGAAATCTAGAGAATAGTTCGGCTATAGCACTACACCACATGCAGTTACGCACAACCATACAATAGGATGGGTTAGGATAACAGTTTTAAAATCGAATGTCACAGGATGGACGGAGAGATTGATAACAGAAGCTTTGTTTATCGAATCAACTGCAAATACATGTAATAAGAATGATTTATCCCCTGCCCCCGATATCTGGAAAATTCTACTACCCCTACGACATATAGGAGAGGACAAAGGAAACCATAAAACTCAAGTTTCGAAGTCGTGTGATTATAACTGATGGCATGATTATGAACAATGATAAATTGTGTTCGAAACTGTGTCATCCAGTAAATAATACTGTCTCACTGACTGTGTGATACATCTAATAAACAAACTAATATGGGATTACAGTTGACTTGGATAAATCTTACCTGATTAACTGAATTTGCCGCGGAACTAGTCAACATAGTTCCAACAGCTAAACAGCATGTGGTACGATAACAATGTTCAAGAAATTCAGGGGATACTAAACTTGTAGAAGCGGCCAGACCACAACCAACTAGCGCCGTGGATACAACTAAACCAGAAAGACGTGCCTTTGAGAGACCTGCAGCAATAGATGAATAATGCTTGAGAAGTAGAAGAACTGGAGATGGTTGGGTGATAACTAAGTCTACTGTAGTTGGACAAGATGTTGAAGGTATCGATGTTGAAGAAGCAGGGGAAGAAGACTCCAATGGATTAGAAACCCATTTGTCAGATATATCATCCGGTGGGAATGAACAATGATCATTGTGAACGTTTCTGACTGTCAAAAGTAAAAAAAACAACCGAACATTAGCAAAGATTAATTAGGGAATTGGAAGCATAGAAAAGCACACCTATATGTCTGTAATGATAAATGTACTGATAACCTCTCTGTCTCCATGCCTGTCAACTCTCAGTCAGACTGTTCCAAATTAAATAACTTTCTCTCGGAAATTAGTCAGTGGTCCTCTTCAAACGGTCTAAGGCTGAATCCGTCTAAATGTCAGGTAGTAAATTTCACTTTCAAACGAAAACGTGACCTACAACAACTAGCTAGCTCACACGGTCCCACTATCATTGACGGCATAGAGATTGAAACTACACCTAATGTCAAGTACCTTGGACTGAGTATTTCCTCCGATCTTTCCTGGTCCTCTCACATCTTGCTAGTTACTAGAAAGATGTTTCGCTTAACGTTCTACGTTAGGCAGTTAAGGCGGTCTGGTATAAAGCAGTCTTTGCTTTCTCAATTTGTCAATTCTTGTATTCTACCCATCCTTCTTTACTGCTCCCCATTAATCTTTCCTGGACTACTTAAGAAAGACTTTGCTTTGCTGTGTAGGGCACTAAAAGCTGTTAGTAGGGGAAGTGGGATTTCTTTAAACCAACTGGTTAACACCATTGTGGATAGACATATAATGTCATGTAAGAAACTAGCGAATTCTATATTGTCAGCCCCTGAACACCCTCTCTATACGCAGCTCTCTCCTTGCATTTCATCTGGTAGAACTAGAAGCAGCTATAGGAGGTTATATGCCAGGACTACCAAGTTCAAAAACTCCACAATACCTTATCTGGCACAGCTGTTATGTAATGAGAAATTCGTTAGGTATGACAGGATCAACTTACTGCGGCACTCTAACAAATAGTTCCCACTAGCTTTTGTTCTCCTTTCTTTGTTACTATTATATTGTTGCTCACATATTCTATTACACACTAATTTTATATTTCATATCCTGTGGTGCATTGTTTAAATATGTGAATGCAATGCTGTTCTTTTTTATTTCTTTTATTTATCTTTTTTTTCTTTTTGTTGTCGTTACTTTTTATTTTTAAAATCTTATAAAATTTATGAGATAACTAGATGCAATATTTGTAATGCACGCTGAAAATTCCATATCTGTACCACAAATACTGTTTGGAATAAAGCTATTATTATTACTATTATTGTCTAATCCCTGCTTATTACGAAAATTACGCCACTTTATATATATATATATATATATATACATATATATATATATATGTATATATATATGCGTCAGTGGCACAGCGATAGAAGGCTCGCCAAACACGCGTGTGGTTCAGGGTTCGATCCCTGGCAGACACACTCCTTTACCTCGCTAAGCCAGTAATAAAGATGGTAAAGATGAAAGGTTGGGCATGAGGCCAGCAACCCCATCCCGTAAAAATGAACACCACTGCTACCGAAATTTCAAGCCTCTAGCTTGAGGCCATATGTTCCGCTGGGAACGTAAAAGAACATATATACAAAACAGTTTCCTTTATGAATTTCGGCAAAAGTAAATAAGAAAAAAATTTTTTTATTCCTTCACGTTCCCAATGGAACATAGGGCGCCTTCAAGCTAGAGGCTTGAAGTTTCTGTAGCAGTTTTTTTAATTTTAACAGGATGGAGTTGTTAGCTTTATGACTAACCTTTGCTTTTTACCAGCTTTTATTTCTGGCTTAGCGAAATAAAGGAGTGCATCTGTGGCCGGGGATCGAACCCCGGACCATGTGCATAGTCGGCGAGCGTCCTAACCGCTGTGCCACCGACGCACAAATAAAAAACGTATATTATCTGAATCGTGTAATGTATATTTGCGCGCGGCATACATTTCGAACTATTTGACCACAGCACATGAACTTTTCATAGGAATACATACAAAAAATAATGAAGCGTTAAGTGGTAAGAGAATAAACGCTGATAGGTCAAGTTAAGAGGCCATATTGAAGATCAAAATAACAATAGGGATCAATAAACCAAAGAAGGTTTAGTGTGACGACGAATTATTTTTAAACACATAAATATGGTTAAAACCTCCGCACACCGTGGATTGAAACCACGAACTATTAATTACGCCATGAGCTCAGTGGTTCGCTAACTGATATCAATCCTTAACTGGACTTGAAACCAATGAAATTCCTACAAACTACTACTTAATAATAATAGTATAAGAGATACTCACTGTCCTCATAACTTCTGTTTAATTTCATCGACGTTGTACCAATGAACTTAAGCCCAACTGACTTCAGCGATTCACGGATTGACTTGTTACCATCAGGGAGTAATCTCGCTGACTCAGAATATGCACACGACACAGTACTCCTAGGTGAGGTGAAGACACTAACAAAATGCAGAGTCTTCTCAACACCTTGAGCTGAGCAGCAATCTTCGAGTGTTTGGCATGCGATTTGATCCCTCTATCAAATGTAAGATGATGCTACAGGATTTCACTGGACTACATTGATTCACTTCTAGCTTAAAGACAAAGGGGAGTGAGGTGGTGGTAGAGCGTATTGACCAATTCACTTATTTGGGGAGTTGCATCCTCCCTGATTAACTGATTCCCGACGAAATCCCCGCATAGATACCAAGATATAGTAGTGGTCAAATCAAAACATGGCTTCATCAGTCAATGAAATCTACAACAGTCAGTCTAAACCAGCCGCGTAGGGAGATGTAGGCTGATGTCTGGTTGGGATCCTCGGTATGGTAAAAACCAGTGGCTGGGGAAAATCGGTGATACGGCTAAAAACCATTCTCAATGACAGTGCAGATGCATTCACTCTTATTATTCTATGATATCCAATAAAACTCTATTGTTCTTCCGTATTGCTATTCTTTTCGCCTCATCTCTCTGTTTTGAATCTCTCTCTACTCTCTTCTCTTGCTTTGTGTGTTAAATGGAGGGAGTATGGCAACTCGAACTGCTGCCCATCTGTGCAAACTTTTCCGCCGAAACCAGTCAGTCAGTCAATATAAGGGAGTTAAGTGGCTTTTGACGGCCTTTATACCGTTTGGTTTTCAAAACAGAAAGCAATATGAAGCCAGGTTTAAACCGGGAATCTTGTAGTTGAAAGTCGAGTGCTTAATCGAGTGAACCATACCCACCTCTTAGAATGAGTATGAGAGGAAAAGATTAAAAAAAGTCCTACATTATCACAAATCCCAAAACGCTCACCTTGATTTTCTGCAGAAGGATACAACTGATGGGATAGTCCTGTTGAATATGATTTTGATCTGTCCTTTTCATTCTAGAAAGATATAAGAAAACAGATTTATTAGTGGCTGATAAATTCACAACAAATTTATATGACGGATGGGGTGAGAAAGCATTTAGATGACACATTTCTGGCATAGTTATGGATTATAATACAATGCATAGATATCAAGTGGTGTTATCCATTGACAATCTCTTTGTCAGTGAAAAGAACATAGTGTTAGAAATCAGTTAGCCAGAAGTCACATTATTCTGTCTCTACAGTGGTGGATGTCCCTCACACAAAATTAAAAAAGGGCGAATACGAACATCTGGTGCTTACAACCCGGTTAGTGGATATATACAGGAGTTGACTTATAGTGGAGGAGCCGGGAAATCCTATATAGTGTACGTGGTCTTCAGAACCCGAACGGATCGAATAGCGCCTATGAGCCTGTTTTGGTCAGTTCCAACCGCGGGGAAGTAGCTCCTGACGTTGATCCACTTCCTTGTGGATTAGTCTTCCAGTCAAAGGCTCAGTGAGCGTTGGCCCCTCTTTAAGACAACCACCTCCTTCTGTAAGAGCCTCCGGGAATTATCCTAGCCCTCACACAAACTATGAGACAGTTTTGTGTGGCGTATATCTTGGTGTCCATAATTTACTAAGTTTATGATTTAATAATAATAATAGTAGTAGTAAAAGTACTTAATCGCTAAGGCAAGAGTAGGTTTGGTGATATTCAAACCACGAACCGATTGGTTGAAAGACGAGCCAGTGAGCTACACTTACACAGAGGTTTAGCACATAATATAAACGTACACAATGATATCTTCTTAATTACTGGTCTGCACATAGTACATTCAAGTCTTTAATTAACTAAGTCAGAATCCTGGAATGTTGTTGACACGAACTATGTAGCCTGTTTGGTTTGAGTTATCAAAATATCAGAAACTGTTAATCAGAGACACTACCTAATATAACTGAGATCAATCACAAAAGTGATACATCTCACCTCAGTATGGGAAAAGGAATAAGCACATGAAGACTAATCAGAATTTGATGAATCTAGGATTCCATAAAGTCTGATTGTATCTGAACAACTGAAAAGGATTCTGAGTCATGTGTCATCAACAGTCTCCAGTCAATGACTCCTAGCATCACGACGACCCCAACCAGGTAGTCTACACTTCTCTACAACCAAAGGTGTAATGAACTGATAGTAGTTTTCATTCTGATCACCTCTAACTCTTTCCCGACCTAATCGTGCTAAGTCAGATGACATTGCTCAATGAGGAAGGCAGTTGTGTGGGATACGCGACACATATTTGTTCTAGCTATCGCAGTTAGTGTGGCCTCACAACCTCATAGATTGATTTGTTTTAACCTTAATATCACTCAAAATATAAAGCCATTTAACACAGATAAGCATAACCTTTTAGTGGTCATCTCTTTACGGCCAGAAAGAAGGATAAAGCGAAATGCTGTGCAGTATACATCGATAGCCTAATATCACGTCTAGACCAAAGATGACGTAAGTTGGTAAATGTGTTAGATCAGTCTTTTCTATACGCGCTGCGAATTCACTAGCAATTAGTCCATTAGAACTCTCTATCTTGAAAAACTAAGAGTCAGTGCAGACTAGGCCAATCTTGCAGCATCACCTTACCTTAATAAGGAGTGAAGTGTGTGCCAAACGTTCAGAGATTTCTGTTCTATGCACTCAGGAAACCCCGTATTTTATCAGCGTCACCATCTAGAAGGACTTGAAGTCGAAGAAACTGCCATACCCCGGTAACACCAATCAATCCCTGAATGGCTAAAATAGCTTAGAGTCACATCTATTAGTATATCCATGATGAATTTGAACTGAAACAGAGGCACTGAACATCCCTGATGAACATTGTTGGTTGTCATCATGCCGGATGACAACATTCCATAAGCTCTCAAACGGCTGTGTAAGTTCAAGTAGAGTGCCTTGATGAATACGATACACTCCCGCATCAGGTATCGTGACAACCCTTGTAGATCGACGGGGTCAAATGCCACCTTCAAGTCTGTTATGCAGTAATGCTAATCTAGTTGTTAATCTTCATTGTTTCACGTTAAACCACGGATTGATATCAGTTATAGAACCACTGGAAAACCAGCATAGAGTGCTGAACAGCTGTTTTGAAAGCATAGTTTAGTACTCATCCACAATATGCACCCACTGGGTTTCAAACCCCAGGACCTTCCGGTTACATGGAAAACTCGTATACCATTCAGCCACTGAGGCCCGATTCAATGGCTCATGAATTCTAACTTCTTCCACAATTCGTGATTTTAGAGGGACCACCAACCATGACGAAGTTGCCTGGGGTTATAGTGATAAGTCGTAACCAGTGGCGCTCATTCAGTCGGGAGTAGTGAGGATGGAGTTCCCGCCGATGACATTGGTTGGTGGTCGCGCTAAAATCAAGAATTGGTGGAAGTTAGAATTTGTGGGCCATTTAGTCGGGTCTCAATGGCTGACTGGTCTACGGGATCGCCATGTCCTGGGTTATAAACGCAGTGGGTGAGTATTGTCGATGAGTCTCAAACTAGGCTGACAAAACAGCTACCCAGCACTCTATGCTGGTTTTCCGATGGTTCTCTAACTGATATCAATCCGTGGTCTAACTTGAAAGACATAGGAACCCCTACTATCACCGATGATATTCTGAATTGTAGAGGACCAGATTGTCCGTCAGACTATGGAGAGCGAGGAAACAGGAATACGTTGGACGACCGATAAGAAGACTCTAAAAGATCTGGATTTCGTAGATAATATATGTCTACTGTCACAAGAACTCAAAGACTTACAGACGAAAACCAACAAGCTGGTTGAAGAGGCAGCGAAGACAGGACTCCAAGTGAACATAGAAGAGACGGAGGTGATGAAGATGATCAACCAACAGCAACAACAACAGTCTGCACCAGTCACCATCAACGGGAGAGATTAACAGAGGTTACTTCCTTCACTTACCCAGTTAGGAAGCATCGTTTCAACGACAGGCAGTTGGAACGGATGAAGATGTTAAAGCCAGTCAGAAGCAAAATACGCCTTCATCAACCTGGAACCAGTTTGGAGATCTTCCGCACTCAACATAAGGAACAAGATTCGTATGTCAATGTCTGTACGGGTCAGAAACTTGCACTGCGTGTAACGAAAAGGATTTCCAACAGGTTGCAGACTTTCATCAACAGCTGCCCACCTAGCTGGCTGGCTGACTGGCTCCATACTGAAGATCAAACGGCCAGAAACAATAAGTAACAAGAAACTTTACAGTGGAAAAAACCAACAAAGAGCCGATCGCTCAACAAATATGTAGGAGAAAGTGGAGGTGGATCGGGCATACACTGAAGAGGCCGCCGAATGACATCGCATGCAATGTAGGTCATAACTCGAGTGGAATCGACATGGGAAGCGATGAGTGTGTCGTCAGTGCGAGGGTGACATGGAGAAGATCGTGTGGGGAGGAAGAGATGAGAGATTTCGGTCAATTGTGGAGCCAGAAAGCAGAACAAAGTGGAGATGTGTTGTTGAAGTCAGCCCTATATTGCAATCGGAACGCAAGGGAATAATACTACAAAAAACCCATTCTTGAAAATCTTTATTGTCTTCCAAGTTCTCTGTATTTTAATTAGCCTTAACTAACTGGCTCCCCTCATCATTACTCAAAATTCTTCTATTTACTTTGATATCCTTCTACCATCATTGAAGCTTTTTCTGTATAAGGTTTATGACTTTAACATTGAAGTATATGTGCGTCGGTGGCATAGCGGTTAGGACGCTCGCCAACCATGCACATAGTCCGGGGTTCGATCCCCGGCCGTCGCACTCCTTTACCTCGCTAAGCCAGAAATAATGCTGGTGAAGAGGAAAGGTTGGGCATGAGGCTAGCAACCTCATCCTATAAAATAAATACTGCTACAGAAACTTCAAGCCACTAGCTTGAAGCCCTATGTTCCACTGGGGAACGTGAAGGATAAAAAATATGCTCACCTATTATTAAACTCTACTATGTCAAGAGTAATCTGTATTATCTCATAGAATTAACTAGTTACCACCACAATACCTGAGTACTTTTAATAAGTTATTGATCCACACAATTATCATTACTTCTGATAACTTATAATAATATCTGATAAACTTTTGTTTGCATAAAATATGAACTATGACCAATAAGGTGAAATAGAATTTGTTTCAATCATATACTGCTAATTGGTCAGTGCACATATATGCGTCTTGTAATAATGAAAAGAAGGAGAGGCACTCACTAAGAGGAAATTCACAATTTGTGAACAGATTAGCAACGTGAAATTTACGCAATTCCAGGAAGTGAAATCCCACTACAAAATTATTGAACATCACACACAATATGTGGTCTGCTTGACACTATAAGCGGTAATCAAGAAACCAAGTATATTTGAATAAAGTTACATACTACTGTGGTGAGAGCTGACTGCTAGCCAAAATTGGTAGACAGTAATTTACGTCAATGTTTATGTCCCAAATATTATTCATGTGAAAACAAGAACAAAGATTGAGAGCAGACTTTGCGCAGGCGGATACAATTAGCAGAGAGATGATCTGGCATTCAAGAAACAGCAACAAAGAGATGAAAAATTAACGTTCAACGAGAAACCACCAGTCAGAAGACTGTGTTTTTCTGCTAACAATAATCTATAATAATATGTATTGACTTCCTTAAATAAACGATCTGTTGTCTGGCCCTTGTCTTCTGTTCTTAAATTTGGTGTCGTTGCCTACCGACAAATGGAAAGCCTATGCCCTGCAGTTTTTGATGGAGACATATGGAGCTTCGGGCAAGACTTCGAGGCTGTTGCGCGGTTGAGTGGAGTTTAAGATCCGTCAGTGATAAGTTGTTCCTTGGAACACTGCTGGAAGGTCGGGAGAAGGCAGCATATGAAAGTGTGAGGCGAAGCACCGACGAATGCGCGCCGGGGTCAGGCAAATAGCATCCAAAGTGGGAAGGACCACATGTGATCACTGTGAGACGGGGTCACGCAGATAAGATTGCAAATGTAAACAAAGAGAAATAGGAGAATGACAACGAGCGACGGAATTCGAGACAGCAAGACAAACGAACAAAACCCCTAGAACCAAGAAGACCAAACCAACTTCAGTCGCAAGTCTTTGACGGGGGGACGAGTGTGGTGAGAGCTGACTTCCAGCCAAAATTGGTCGACAGTAATTTACGTCAATGTTTACGTCCCCAATATTGGTCATGAGAAATGAACGAAAACAAAGACCGACTCAACAACCAATCACAGCAGACTTTGCGTAGGCGGATACAATTAGCAGAGAGATGATCTGACATTCAAGAAACAGCAACAAAAAGATGAAAAATTAACTTTCAGTGAGAAACAAGCAATCAGAAAACCGTGTTTGTTTACTAACAATAATCTATAATAATGTACATGAAAATCTATAAATGTGTTGATTTTCTAAATAAACGAACTGTTGCCTGGCCCTTGTCTTCTGTTGTTACACTACTAATTGCCTGAGATGAGTAGTTGAGTGCCACTCATATCAAACAATAGTGCTCGATAGCCAGTGATCAAAGTGTTCTAAAAAACCAATGGATAGCCGTTCGACTAGTTTAGCGCTGGACTCATCAGCGGTATGCCAATTAAATTTGCAAATTAAACTCCGTGTTTAAATTGCTTCGATCTAGCTGGCTAGGAAAAGCACTAATTACTTGGTAGTGATATGAGTAGAAAACAACTACTTAATTCCAATGAATCAGTAGTATATATAGTCTTAGGCATTACTGAAATACACACAACCACGACATGACTGCTTCTTTTTTTCATTCCTTCCGTTCCGAATAGAACACAGAACTCCAAGCTTTGAAGTTTCAGTGGCGGCGTTGTTGATTATTCTACGGGGTAACATTGCCAGTATTGTATCAACAGACGGCAAGACACGGAAGCCAAGGTATATTTTTCATTAATCAAACCGCTGCATGTATACATATGACTACAGTTTATATTGGTTAACCAATCACTGAGCGTGAGATTTCGGTTTACATCAAACGACATGAAATAGAATGTTCAAATATGCATAGTATTCTGTTACCAATGCGCATTATTGAACTGTGGGAAAGTATTCTGTAACTAACATCAAATAGAATGTTCAAAATATATGTATATATATATATAGTAGGGTGTGTCAGGTAAGTAGGGAAAGTCAATCTATGAGATTGTGAAACTGTATTGATTGAGATTGATGAGATGTGTTTCGCAATCCTAGCCATGTTCTCCCTTAATGACCGACGTTAGCTTACAAATGATCAGATTGGAAAAGAGTTAGGTGTGGTCACAACAAAACATGGGATGAATCCATGGAATATTTGGCAGTTATTTTTAGCCAGCCAATATAGGGAAGTGTAGACTGCCTGTTTTGGGGTCTTCAAGATTTTCTATAGTTTGGTTTGTAAGGGTTAGTTATGTTTTTACGAGTTGATCACGGATTGATATCAGTTAGAGAACCATTGAAAACCAAGGAGTACTGGACAGCTGCTGTTTCATCCTAGTTTGGGAATCATCGGCAGTACGCACCCACTGGGATTCCAGATTGTTAGAACCAATGAAGGCTGGAGACAATCGGTGACATAGCTCAAAGTCGTTGTCAATGGCTGGCGCAGATACATTCACAGTTTATGAACCTTAATGTTTCTCCACTTGACTATTCTTTCACTCTCAATTTTCTGCCCATTAGAGTCCTTTTGAATCCCCTTATTTCCACCTCACCCACCCCTCCTTTTTTCTGTCTTTGTGCGCTTCGCAGAGAGTAGCAACTTGAACTGCTGCACTTCCGTGCAAAGTTCTACGCTGAAACTCAATCAGTCAGTCTGGGAAGTTGTGCAACCTAATGAAAGGGGTGCCAGAGAACTTAGAGCGATGGAGATGTGCCTTCAAAGCCCTAATGCGCCATTTGGAAAGCAAGAAATTAGTAATAATAATAATAATGACAGTAAAACATTTCGTTTCTATACACGGACTAAACAGCTGGAACTTATTTAATGAGTAAACACCTGGAATCAAATAATCTCAAAACATTATGAGACCGTTCATGTAGGAATGAATTTGGATAGCTTAACTGAAAAGTTTTCACTGTCCTTCTCCACAACATTTTGGTTGTAAACTACACTTTATATAAAGCATTAGAGGTGATTGACTAGCATGCGCTTGCATTATAAACCAATCAAACTTTCCGTTGGACATTATTACAATTATAACCTTTGTGACTATGGCTTTCTGTAGGGAGTTGGTTAAATTTTGTCAAGAATCAACATTAGTTAAGGATCACAGAAAATAACGGGGAAATGGACAGTTGTTTCGTCCCAGCATGGAACTCTTCAACAGTGCGCAGTCATGACCCTGGGACCTACTAACTACGAGACCAAGCTCATTGACCTTTCACAGCCAACTGGGTTGGAATTCAGTGAACTGTGAATTCTGAATGTGTCAACGCGTAATACAGCACTGCCCTTACATCAGTGAGGTCAACACCAATGTCAAGGTGAGGTAGATGCCCATCGAAGGCATTGGTAACGGTAGAGCTATAATCATTAAATTCCACCAATCCAAGTAGCTGAATGGTCCACCAGCTTGGTCTCCTCGAAACTTGAAGGTCCAAGATTCGATCCCCAGGGATGGGGGCGTAAGTGTATACTGCCGAAGAGCCCCAAACTCGAACGAAACAGGTGTCCAGTGCTACGTGGGCTTTAATGATCCCTCTGTAACGCTGACGAAATGCAGAGTCTTCTGAACACCTTGAAGAGCCGCAATCTACGAATGTTTGGCATGCGATTCGCTCCCTCTATCAAATGTAAGATGATGTTACGCGACTGGACTACACTGACTCCTAGTTTAAAAATAGGGAGTGAAGTGGTAGAGCACGTTGACCGCTTCACTTATTTGGGAAGTTGCATCAGCCAGTGTCAACGGGTTGATCTCTGACGAAATCTCAGCACGGATACAGAGGGCCAGTTTTGCATATGCCAGTTAACACCGTCTCTGATGTAGACGTGATATTCGGCTATCGACCAAAGGGCGGGTGTACTGCTCAGCAGTCCGCTCCGTCCTCCGTCTTGGCTGGCTGTGAGACCTGACCATTGAAAGTAGAAGACATGGAAAGCTTGGCTATTCGTCTTTGATCGTAGGCGTCTGCGTTCTTTCTCTCGTGTTAGATGGTATAATAGAGTGAGCAATATTGAGGTTAGGCATCGGTCGAGTGTTAGGTGAGAAGGGGGGGATCAATCCATTGATATCGTTAGGACATGTGTTACGAATGCATGCCTAGCCATCGCCTTCCTCGACAGCGGGCAATGTTAGCTGACATAGGGTCAGGTTGGAAAAGAGCTCGTGGTGGTCAAACCAAAACATGGCTTCATCAGTCAATGAAATCCAAAACAATTACTTTAAGCTACTTAGGAGGGTGTAGACTTCCCGACTGGTTGGGGTCCTCTGGACGGTAAAATTTAATGGCTGGAAACAATTGGTGATATGGCTCAAAATCGTTCTCAATAGCTGGCGCAGATGCATCCACTCCTTGTGACTTATGCAATAAAACTACATTGTTCTTCGTTATTACTATTCCCTTTGTCTCATATTCCTGTCTGCTGTCTCTATTATGCATGTCTTCTACTTTCTGCTCTTGCTTTTTGTGCTACATGGAGGGAGTGTGGCGACTTGAACTGCTGCACATCGGTGCAAAGTTCTAACGTCGAAAATAGACAGACAGACAGACTCTAATGTATTGGTTCGTGAATAAAAATAAAAAAAACAGATGGAAATAATATTCCAAAATCCTCCACGGAATCTTTAATCTGCAAATTATGAAACATGAAGTCGAAAATAATCAAAATAATAACTGACTTACAAATGTCGTTTTAATCTCAGAGCATGAAGTTCTCGCCTTTCCAACAAAATAATTATCTGAACATTGATGTAAATTAGTTGTAGACAAACAACGATGAAATTGTAATGAAAGAGTTTTACAAGAGTATAAATTAGGTGTACGACGACGAATAATTGATAATAGTGGGATTTGTAAAAAACCGCTGAATTTCATCATTTAGGGAAGTCAATGACAAGTAGGAGCGGTAGTATTGCCAGTAGTAGTAGTCGTGGTAGTAGTACAACAATCTTCTAGCAGTATTTGTGCTAAAGTTCGTATACGAGGATCAATCTCGGCGTGTGGACCAGATGATGACTCACAATAATGACGTGCTATTTGAACTGCAGCGGGGAATCTAGAACCCAATGATATTGATTCTTCGGCAGAATTTGGACAACGAGTAAATAAGTGTATCAGGATAGTTAAAGAATACACAACAATTAAATTATCTGGAGAAGTTGTACAAGCAACAATACACGGCAGATATGTATGATTTAAAATATCTTGACGTAGGATTGACGATGAAGCGGCAAGATTACACAGACCACCAAGGGCAAATTCACTTAAACGAGTTGTATGTTCATCAATCTTTAAATTTGAATTGGGCTGAGAGGCTGAAATGCATAAGAAGAGAACAAACCCAAATCATATTCTAGGATTATTTAGCGGTGAATGAAATTTCAAAGAGTCCTGGGTCACTAACTGGCTGAATTCCTACTTCTCTAACAGAATGCAGTACACCGTATACAAAGGTAAATCCTCCTCTGCTGCGCTAACTGAAGCTGGTGTCCCCCAAGGAACTGTACTCTCCCCACTTCTCTTTTCTTTCTTTCTACATTATAGACCATCTTCAAATGACATTAATTTTGTCAAATATGCTGACGACCTGACTGTATCTTTGCCTGTCAAATGTCAAAGCGACTGCTCTAAACTTAATGGCTTTCTCTCGGAAATCAGCCAGTGGTCCAAGGAAAACGGTCTTACCTTAAACCCCTCCAAATGCCAAACAGTCAATTTCACCTTTAGGCATAAATCCGACCTAAACAAACTGGTTGGCTCTCACGAGGTATGCAACATAGATGGCACTGAAATAGAAACCAAATCGGAAATTAAGTACCTAGGCGTCATTCTATCTGCTGATCTCTCCTGGCCGTCTCATATCCTTGCAATTTCTAAGAAAATATTCCGTCTTACCTTCTATATTAAGAAGTTAAAACATTCTGGTATAACCCAACCCTTACTCCTACAATTCGTTAATTCTCGCACCCTGCCTATTCTTGGTATTAGATGGTTGGAGGCAATCGGCAGGAAGCCTTGGACCTAGGTTTCGTGCTAGTTGGCACTCATCAGCAAGGCGTATCTGCAAGCTAGAAGGAACTGATGTCCCTTCTGAGATTCGAACCCGCGTCACCCAGTGCTGCAGTCAGAGACGTTACCACTGAGCTATTCAGGCTCGCGACTGACGCGGGTTCGAATCTCAGAAGGGACATCAGTTCCTTCTAGGTTGCAGATACGCCTTGCTGATGAGTGCCAACTAGCACGAAACCTAGGTCCAAGGCTTCCTGTCGATTGCCTCCAACCATCTAATACCAAGAATTCACAGTGCACCGTAATGGCGAGCCACCTAGCATGGTGGCCACATTGCAAACATGACTGATAGAATTCAGTCTGCACCGAAGATAGGACTTGACGCATTACACTAGTTACTGACTAGTGTGCAATCAAATATTCTGCCTATTATTCTCTATTGTTCCCCCTTAGTTTTTCCCGAGCTACTGAAGAAAGACTATACCTTATTACGCAGGATGTTAAAGGTTGTCAGCAGGGTAAGCAACGTGCCACTTAACCAGCTTGTTAATATTCTGGTTGACAGGCACATGGACTCATGTGAAAAATGGGCTAAATCCAATTTATCTCCCCTTGTATCTCGTATGGCAAAACCTGAAGCCTATATAGAAAACTATATGCTCACTCTAGCAAGTACAAAAACTCAACCATACCCTACTTAGCTCGTGTTCTGTGTGATAAAGAAAGCATTAGGCATGACACCTATAATTCATTAAATAGTCAGTAGAACAACTGGATCTCGTCTTTCCAACTCACATCATCAATAGGTACAACATTTTCTTTCTTTCTTTTCCTTTTCTCTCTCTCTCTTTTTTCCGTTATGTGCTGCTTTGTTTCTTTCTCTCGCTTAAGCCAGTAAATATGACAGCACCTACTTTTCTAACACCTTCGAACACTGTTCAACTTTGGCTTTGCTACCGAAATCCCAATATGTTGTTGTCATAATGAACTGAGATTTCCTTAATCTATGTAGAATTCTATTTAATGGTAATGTACTAACTGGATGCAATACTGTAGTAAAAATGCTGAAAATTCCATTCTGTATCACAAGTACTGCTTTGGAATAAAGCAAATTATTATTATTCATGATAATTTTTTTTTTTTTTGCTTGTTCCCGAGGCTGACCGGCAGCTTAACCGGACTTCTACTGGTATGACTGTGGCGACGGTATCAGTAGAAGATAACTTGGGTCGTCACACCGCTCCTTGTGTAGCTCCGTTGACAGTAGCAGCGGACGCCAACGAAATTTTTCAAACCTCACAACCTACTGATACATTGGCGACGGTATCAGTGGGGGCTGGACTTAGTCGCCATCATTCATCAATCCAAACCATGAACCCAACAAATCCAAGAAATATCATGCCGGATCGGCCGTGGCCCGGATTAACAACGACCGCGCTTTCTGCTGCCGTGTCACAGGGCAGAAGTGATAAGTACACTACTGAGACACACCAGGCCGTGTGTGACCGGCCTCAAGCAGATGTCCCCTGGGCTCTGCGGTCACGCAACACTAACCTTTCTTCCATTTCAGGTACCCAAAGACGAAACTCAGGCGTGAGGCCAGCAACCCCACCCTGTAAACAAACCTGCTACAGAAACTTCACCATGAGCAATCTCCTTGCGACAAAAGAAAATAATAATAATAAATAAAATTATAATAAATAAATAATATAACCGCCTAAATGAGATCCACCAAAACATTAAATTCACTATGGAATACGAACACAACGACGAGTTCAATTTCCTGGACCTAAATGTAAAAAGAGAAAAAACTATGGAACGGTCGAAAAGTCCATCTACAGAAAAGAAACTTGGACTGGACAATACCTTCACTACAACAGCTTATGCCCTATAAGCTATAAGCGAGGATTAGTAAGGACACTGTACAACAGGGCTAGGAAGTTATGTTCGCCTAACAAGTTAGAAGAAGAACTAAGCTTTGTTGAAAAATGCCTTAGGGAAAACGGGTATCCAAAAGGATTTATCCTAAAGTACAGCAAAGAAAGAGATGAGAAAGGGAAGTATCCAACAGTTAAAAAGAAGAAAGTGTTCATTTGCCTCTCATACAAAGGAGAAACAGTATCGCAAAAGATTGAAGAGGATGAAGGGAGCAATAAAGAGATGCTTCCCTGCGACTAAGCTGGTGACACTATAAAGCACTACATGCTCTGTAAGCCAATCAAAACTGGATAAGTACCCTGATGATGTTACCTCCAACTGCATTTATACATTTACGTGCACCTGCGGCAGCAAGTACAGTGGAAGGACAGAAAGAAGGGCTTCTATCCGGTTTTCAGAGCATATTCCGAGAATCTTATGCTTAAAAGCAAGCAGATATTTACAAAGTGCAATTACCAGACACCTGGTGGATACGGGTCATTTTGTTGAGATTTCCAAATCCTTCAAAATATTAAACATACAAAGGACAGCGAATCTACTACGATTTGCTGAAGCAACTGCAATCAAACGTCTCAGACCAAACTTATGCACACAGAAAGAGAGTGTAGTCAATCTCTCACTCCCTTGGTAACCATATCACTTTCATTACACTGATTAGTCATACACACTAATGGGCTCAACTCACTAAGCAAGTTTTCAAATTGATGGACTTTGACCTTCTTGAGTTGCTATGTTGACAGTGTTTATGAGATTTTTCTGTCTTCTCTCACCCCCACCCTTTTTCTTCTTTCCTTTTTCTTTATAGTTTGATAGTATATAAATTGATGATAACTTAAACTGATAATTGTAATACTTATATTCCGGATGCGTTCACCTTATAATGTTTTATCTATTACCCTTCAAACAATGAAGTATGAAATGTTATTGTTTATAACCATTGTAATTTCAGGTAGTTTGCAGCTGATGAGAGCCTGCGAGATAGAATGATATCATTTTATACTGCAAATCTGGTCTTTCTTTCTCCATCGAAATTTACTAAGGGAACCAAATGCATGAAACAAAATCATATTCTAGGATTATTTAGGGTGAATGAAATGTCAAAAGTTTTCTTGTATTTCCCAATGAATGAAAAAGCCAAAGCGATATTGTTGTTTTTACTGACGTTTCACTATTTAATGCTGCTGCTAATAGCTCTATCAAAGTGGTATTATTAAACCAGAATTTACAAAATCGACTCAGCTTATACATAACAACTTAATCATCGTTCCTCAGTATGGGGTCATTTTTCCGTGGTCAAATTGGCTAATTGGTAAAGATAACAAAACCAGGTGTAGATGCCTGTTGGATTTGATAAGTGTGTAAAATTATAAAAACAGAGTGTGTTTACATAATGAAATTGCTTATCACATTCTTGTTGATTTTGTCATTTCATGGGGGACGACGGGTATTGTAACCAGGTGAAATTCTGTTTTAGTCCATCATTCCTATTCAGATAATTTGGATTCCATTTGATATGAAGTGTGCTTCTGATGATATTAGACGTTCTTTGTGATTTCTTAAATTTTTCTGGATGATGATTTCAATAGTGTCAAAATCAATCTTGTGGCCTGATTTTATAGCGTGTAGACCTATGGCTGATGATTTTTCAAGCTTTTCTAGTTCAGTCGGATTTCTCAATGGTCGAACAGATGCTCTGCGGTGTTCATTTCTTCTGATTTTGATTTCCGGAGATGTTTGTCCGAAGTATATTGCATCACATTCCAAGCAAGCACTTTATTTTGTAGACACAATTAGATTGAGAATCTGTAGAGATTTGGTCTTTTATATGGACAAGGTTGTTTCGCAGTGTGCGTGTCTGATATTTTGAAGAAAACTCTAATATCGAGCTGATTGAGTACTCGTCTGATGTCGTCTGATGTCTTCGCTCTATTTGGAATGACAGCTGTTGAGGTCCATGTTTTCGGAATACGCTTTCGACCATACTTAATGTCAGTGTTGATTTTGTTGATGAAGTTCCTTGGGTAGTTGTTTTGCTTGAGAGTTTCACTAATGTTTGATATTTCTTCTTTTTCTTTCTTATCCGTTATTAGAGATTGTGCTCATCTAAGAAGACTTGAAACAACTGATACCTTTGCACTGCTGGGATGTGATGATCCGAAGTCTAAATATATATTGGAGTGAATATAGATATACTAACATGTTCGTCTTCCCTCCTCTTAACTAGACAGTATAGAAATAGTAGTTCACCGACGTCTGATTCTGCTTCCGAAGTAAACTGGATTCTGGGAGATAGACTGTTTATTTTCTCCAAGAATGAACTGTGTAGATCTCGTTTTAGCACTACAAAAGTATCATCTACTTATATCTT